TTCTTTTTTTTTTTTTAAATTTATTTATGTGTGTGTGTGGCCAACTCAGCCCACCAGTGGGCGGGGCTGGCTGGCATGTGGTGCTGGGGGATTGAACCATGGTCGCTGTGCTTTGCTAAGCTTGTTCTAAATAGGTGCTTTAGACCACTGAGCCATCTCACCAGCCCCTGGCTGATTTCTTGATAGCATTTTTTCAGTGTTATTTTAATTTGCATTTCCCAATGACTAGTAATATATTTCATATATTTATTTGGTGTTTGTACTTCTTCATCTGAGAAGTGTCTATTCATTTCAGATGCCAGTTTTTGGGTTGGCTCTCTAAATTTGGAGAGATCTGAATTTTTTAGTTCTTTCTTTTTTTAATTGATACAGGGTCTCACTGTGCAGTTTGGACTCATAGTGATCCTCCTGTCTCAGCCTCCCCAGTGCTGGGATTACAGGTGTGTGCCCCCATGCCTGGTTCCAGGGCCGGCACAGTATGCGTGGGGTTCTGGGGCCAGCATGACATGTACTGGGGATTGAACTCAGGACCTTGCACTTGCCAGGCAGGTACTTAGGCTACCAAACTATCTCCCTAGCCCAATTTTTTAAGTTCTTTATAGATATTAAGTTTTTTTTTTTTTTTTGAGGCATAGCTGGTAAATCTTTTTTCACATTCTGTATATTATTTCTTCATTCTGTTGATTTCTTTGTTTGTCTTTTGAAATAGAGTCTCACTTTGTAGTTTGGGCTGATCCTGAACTCTCTATGTAGTCCAGGCTGGCCTTGAACTCAAGGTGATCCTCCTGCCTCCTGAGTGATAGGATTACAGGCATGGGCCACCACACCTGGCCTGTTAGAAGTTTCTTTTGCTGTTCAATGTGACAAGTATTTCTTGAGTGCTGTATTGGTCAGGGATTGGTCAGGAAAACAAACCATGCTGGGTATTCCATTTTTGCTTGTTTGTTGAAACAGGGTTTACCTGTGCAGTTCAGGCTGGCCTTTACTCACTTTCTAGACCAGGTTGTCCTCACACCCACGACGATCTGTCTCAGCCTCCCATGTATTGGCAATACAGATGTGTAATGCTAGGTATTTCTGGTTTTTTTTTTTTCCTCTACTTTTTGGAGGAGAAACTGGGAATCAAACTCAAGACATCACGCTTGCCGGGCAGATGCTATGTCACTGAGCTGTAATCCTGCTCTGCTATGTGTTTTTGCTGGAGAGATTTAGTACAGGAAGTTGGGTACATATGAAGCTGATAGAAGGGCTAGATATAGAAGCCAGGATTTGTGGGTGACTTTGGTTTTCACGTTCACTGTTGCTTAGCTCAGAGGTGACAACAAGGACAGCAGTGGCTGTTGGAGGTGCCCTGCAGCCCCCACGACTGGAGGTCAGGAGAGGCAGAGGAACCTTGCAGTTTCTCTAAACTTGACTGGCAAACCCACCTGTCTCCTGCCACAGCTGGAGGAGGAGACTTCTACTCCCTCCTGCATCTTCACCTCCTTCCACAGCTTTCCTGGGCAGAGCCTGCCATGATCAGACCATGTGGCCAATGGAATGTGGTGGGAGCTTCCCACCCATGTGTTTCAGGGCAAGTACAGAAGGGTGCAGGGATGGTGCCTAGAGCCAGCAGACAAGCTTCAGTAGAAGCACCTGTGGGTGCCACATCAGCAGCCGGCTAAATGCGTCTGTGAATTCCTTCATTCAGCAACTGGTTACTGAGTGCCCCTGCACCCAGCATTGTTGTAGACCTGGGGATAAAGTGGTGCACAGAAGCAGACAAAAGCTCCTGCTCTCATGGAACTAAGCAGATAAAAGACAAGATAAACAGGCAAGATGTGTTATTCTAGATAATGATAAGCAGAAGCAGAGGGATAGGAAGTGGAATTTTGGACAGCATGGCCCAAAGGCCCAGCGAATGAGGAGTACCTGAGCTCTGCCACAGTGCCCCTGCCCTGCTCCAAGCCTGAAAGGCTCAGTGTTCCGTCTGTGGCTTCTCCCCCGCTGCTGCGGTGTCCGGTGGCAGTGTCAGTGAGGGGAGAAGTGATGAGGCCCAGGCTGTGCTAGGAAACCATTGCTGACAGCAATGTGAGCAGCACTGAGAATGGTGTATTTATTGGGTGCATTCTAAAGGCCACCCACTGTGCTGAGCCCTGTGTGTGCCACTTCATTGAGGCCCCAACAACCCCACAAGAGGAAGACTGTAATTGGCCCCATTTTACAGGTGTGGAAACTGAGACAGAGAAATTGAAAGACCAGGTCACTGGGGTGCTTTGGACCCACACAGTTGGCTTCATGACATGCGGAGGGGTCACAACTGTGCCCGGGGTGACTGAGCCAGGGCAGGGGACTGGATAGAGATACAGAATGGTGCTGGAGGTGGGGCCGTGGTGAGAGACCCCAGCCACAGCACCCCTATTTCCTGCAGCCTCTTCCCTCATGGTGCTGTCCTTCCAGGTGCCCAGCCCATGTGTGGAGGCTCCAGTGTACCCCACACCCCCCGTCTACAGCCCGGGAAAGCAGGGATTCAAGCCAAAAGGACCAAACCCTGCTGCCCCTCTTGCCAGTGCCACCGCGGGCACAGTGGCCACCTTTGAGCCCCCGCCCACGCTGAAGACCCGACGTGCTAAGGGTGCCGGTGCACTCTCAGAAGGTGGGCCCCCAGCCTATCTTGGGCTATCTTCCTGGGTACGCTGAGGAGCTCAGATGTGCGTGGCTGTGACCTTCCTGGGTGTGAGCTATGTGGCCCCGGTGCAGGGATACGATGGCGGACATCTTTCCTCCACATTGTCCTAGCCATAGGCTGCTTGCTTCCACTTCTCCGTTGATGATAGTTAGAGCTAAGTTTGCAGTAATGGAAAAATCTACAATAGTAGTTATTTCAAAGTAGTAAAACATTGTTTCTTCCCTTTATAGAACAAGGCAATCTGGGAATCACATGACATATTGACCAGGCACCCAGGTTTCTTCTGTCTTTCTGCTTCTCTAGTCCCAGGGTGTACCTTCATTTATTAGGGTGCCTCTTTATCTAAGGTGGCTGCTGGAGCTCCCGTCATCAGTTTCATATTCCAGGCAGTAAAAAGAGGAAGAAAGGAATGGTAACGGAGGTACCCCACATTTTCAGAATTTTTATATGAGGCTTTCACTTACTTTTCATTGGCGGGAACTTAGACTGCCACAGTCAGGTAAAGAAGCTGAGAAATGTGTTTTTCCTGAAATATCAGTGTTCCCACTATGTAAGAGATCTTGGAGGAAGGAAGGCGAGTGGGCATCAGCCAGGCAGTATCTGCCACCCTTTTGGAACTGCAGAGTGTGGGGTAGGGGTAGTGTTGGAAGCAGCAAGTTGAATGGAGAGAAGAGTAGTTGAGAATTTTGGGGGGCTTTGTAGTAAGCCACATCCTTGTTTCCTTCCACAGATGTGAGCAGCTGTCTCTGTGCCAGGCACCAAGGACTCCGGGTCTTGGTCTTCTGCCTTCAGTTGCTCACAGTCTAATGGGAGAGGCAGAGTTGCTCTAGGAAAGAGAGTAGCAGGGTGCTGGAGCTGAGAGGCTGGGGGTGCTGCTGTCCATGCAGCAAGGGGAAGGAAGCAGCTTTGTGGGTATCCACGGGACCAGCATTCCGGGAGAGGGGGCCAGCAGGCGCCAAAGCCCTGCAGTGGGACCACGCTTGAGTGCTAGCAGGGTTGACAAGGAGCCTGCTAGAGCTGGATGGAGGAAGCGCTGAGGCTGGCCGGGGGCAGGACTCAGGGAGAGCAGATTGCATCCCAGGATGAGGTAGCTGTCAAAGAGAGCATGTTCTAGGCTTTCCGCCCAAGCCCTGTGAGGACCTCAGAAGTGGCTCTTGCTCTGTGTGCACATAGCTATGGACTCCAGGGTGTGGGTTGGGGTGCTGTGGCAGGAGGGAAACCTCACCATTCCTTCCCCTTTGCATCTCAGCTGCAGGGAAGCCCAAAGCACAGAAACTCAAGTGTTCCTACTGTGACAAGTCCTTCACGAAGAACTTTGACCTGCAGCAGCACATCCGGAGGTACTGTGGGCCTGGGGGCAGGTGACTGTCCACAGTGGCAAGTGAGCCCCTGTTGTCCTTTCAGGGCATCTGGGCCTGTAGTCTTGGTCAGGATGGTTTTCCCACTTGGCTTTCAAGGCCAGGGGAAGGGGCCTGCCCACCATGATGGACAGGTGTGGGATAAACTCACTGAGAGGAACTTTACAGATGTGCAGGGCTGCCTGGTCCCAGGTACTGCACTTTGCCAGGGTAGCTAGGATCTCTGGGCTCCCTTGGCATGAGCTGTAACACCTCCTATCCCAGGAATGGCCAGGGAGGCTGGGTGTGGTGGCCTGTACCTATATTCCCAGTGCATGGGATCCTGAGGCAGGAGGATCACCAGGAGTTTGAGGCTAGTCTGGGCTGTATAGTGAGTTCAAGGATAGTTTGAACTGCATAGTAAGACCCTGGCTCGAAAAACAAAACAGACATATAAGGAATAGGCAAGGAGCCTGTCTGGGCCTCAGCTCTTTCCTCTGGGAAATGGAGGGTTGTCATGATCAGGGTCCTCATAGAGCAGGATACCTTTGTAGAGGAGGTGACTGCACGTGGTTCATTAAAAATGACATTGAGGGCTGGGGATATAGCTCAGTGATGCAGTGCCTGCCTAGCAAGTGTGAGACCCTGAGTTTGATTCCTGGTACCAGAAAAAAAAAATAGCATCGAAAAATTTGAAAAGAGATAGTGAACAGATTATTTATTTACTTTGTTATTGTAGTTTTTGGAGAATCAGTGGAAAATGTCTCAATTTGATGTGAGTGTGAGTGTGTGTGTGTGTGTGTGTGTGTGCACACAGAAGCACGTGTGTGTGTTACCAGGAATTGAACCTAGGGCATTTTTACTGAGCTATATCCCTGCTCCTTTATTTTCTGAGACAAAGTCTCATTAAGTTGTTAAGTGGGCCAGAGATAGATCTCAGTGGTACAATGACCACCTGGCAAGCTCCAGGTCCTGAGTTTTATTCTTGGTGCCAAAAAAGAAAAGAACAGCCTCCTTTCTGACCAATTTTCTAAAGTCAATTTAGGCCACTCAAGTTGGAAGGAGATTATCACTCATGAATATGAGTGAGTGTGAGTGTTTGTGTTTGTCTATGTGTGTGTATGTGTGAGCATATGTGCGTGTATATGTGTGTGTGTATTTGTCTGTGTGTGTATGTGTGAGTGTGTGTGTGTGATTCTAACCCCATCAGGAGGAAGCCTCTTCCAAGACCAGGGCTTTCCAGGCTCTCACTGATGACATTTCAGATTCTGGTCACCGCATTCTGTGCTGTGGGAGGCTGGCTGTGCTTTGTAGAATGTTTAAGCGCAGACCCGACCCCTGACCAGTAGATACCATAATGCTCTACCCTACACCTGTCACAGCCGAAACTCTCCAGATGCTGCCAGGTGTCCCCTGTAGGACAAAGTTAAACTCAGTGGAGAGCCACCAGTCTCAGTCAGTGCAGGCCAGAAATTCTGAGCAGTGATAGAGGTGCTCAAACTGGCACTGTCCCTTGCAGCAGCAGCTAACATATAGGGCCGGCTGTTGAATACCGGAACGTGGCTAGTACAGCTGAGAAACTGTATTTATGATGTAGCGTAATTTTAGTGAAAATTGTTTTTGGAGACAGGGACTCACTATGCAGTTCAGGCTGGCCTTGAACTCACTGTTTAGCCCAGCCTGTCCTTGAACTCAGGCAGTCCTTCTGCATCAGTCTCCCAAATGTGAGGATTGCAGATGCACACCACCACACTATTTCAGTGAATTTAGTACCAGGTGGCAGGTACCTACCTCACTAAATAGTGCAGCTGTGTGTCTTAATAACTTTGTTTTATAATTGAATTTTTGCTTACTTAGTATTTATGACAAGTGACTTTCCATAGCTAATGACAGTAGGATGCTTCACTTCAAAATTATTTTAAGTTTTTAAGGATTTTTTTTTTCTCCGCATGCCTTCAGGGCAGGTTTGGCTGGCTTGAGTTGTGGGGATCAAACCACAGCCACCTGAGCCTGATTGCTTTGTCGAAGCAGCCACTTAAAGAACGGAGCTAAGGGGCAGGCCCCCTTATTTAAATTTTTAAAAAGTGAGTTGAAGCTAGGCATGGTGGCACCCACCTATAGTCCCAGTACTCTAGGAGGCTAAGACAGGGAGATTGCAGATTTGAGTCCAGACTGGGAAACTTAGATCCATCTCAAAATGAAAAATAAAAAGGGTAGATATAGCCAGGTATGGTATCCCACCCCTGTAATCCCAGCATTTGGGAGGCTGAGGTAGGAGGATTGCTGTGATCCCAGGCTGTGTGGTGAGTTTAAGGCCAGCCAAAGTTACAGAGTGAGGCCCTGCTTTTATCTTTTTTTTTTTTTTTTTTTTTTTGGTGGAACCGGGAATTGAACTCAGGCCCATGTGCTTGCCAGGCAAGCGCTTATTCTACTGAGCTATCTCCCTGGCCCCAGGCCCTGCTTTTAAAAATAAAGAAAAAATAAGTGGGTTGAAGCCAGTTCTGGGTGATACTTAGGTGGATGAGGCTGTAGGATTGCAAATTTGAGGCCAGCCTGGACAGTTTGAACCATATCTAAAATATGTTAAAGAAAAATATAGAGTGGTACAAGTTGGGTGCTGTGGGTAGGGTGCTGAAGCCCTCTCTGGAGTGGGCTCCCAGCATGCGCCTGTCCTTGGCAGCCACAAAGGACCTCAGCTCAGGGCTGGTAGCTTCAGTTCAGGGAGGTAGCCTGCTTGTTTCAGCCAGTGGCTGTGTCTACGTGGTGTCAGGAGGTGGCAGCAGTGTCTGGCTGTCCCCCCTGGGTGTCCTGGTGCAGGGGCTCCGGCATGAGCCCTCTGACCAGCCTTGTCGCCCCCAGCCACACGGGTGAGAAGCCCTTCCAGTGCATCGCGTGCGGCCGTGCCTTCGCGCAGAAGTCCAATGTCAAGAAGCACATGCAGACCCACAAGGTGTGGCCTCCGGGGCGCAGTGGTGGCACTGTTTCTCGAAACTCTGTGACCGTCCAAGTCATGGCCTTGAACCCCAGCAGGCAAGAGGATGAGGAAAGCACAGGTGGGTAGGAGCTGGGAAGCTACTCTGCCTCTTCATAGGTCCGGTTGCTAGCTGTGTGGTCTCAGGACCCGCCTTGGCCTCTCTGGGCTCAAGTCTACTTTATCTTGAAAGTGGGACATAGGATGAAAGGCAGCCAAAAACTGCATGTGGCATTTTTATGGATACCCATAGCAGATATCACTACCCTGGAGTGTGTGTATGTGGTACAGGGATTTAACCCAGGGTCTTTACACTGAGATACATCCCCAGCTCTTTTTAATTTTTTTATCTCCAGATAGACTCTTATGAAGTCATTAAGATGTCCACTTTGGGCTCAAGCTTGTGATCTTCCTGCCCTAGCCTCCCAAGGCACTGGCACTACAGGCTAGCACCACCACATCCAGTGGTTTTTGTTTTGGTTGATCCTGGATTCTACCTCAGAATCTACTTTTAACAAATTGCTCCGTGAGGCTACTGTCATTGAAAGCTGTCTGAGCTTTTCCCGGGCTCTTTGTACAACATGGTGTTCTTGTTCATCTGAGCCTGAGCTGAGGCTCCTGTTCTTGTATTGGGTTGGTGTTGTACCTACACTGTTTTTGAGCAATTAACTACAGTGCTGGCGGCTGATCGAAATTTAACATGAGCATCATATAGATTTTTTATTTGTCTTTTTAAGACAGGGTCTTTCTTGCTAGGCGGTTCAGGCTGGCCTTGAGCTCACTTTTCAGCTCAGGCTGGTCTCAAACTTGGAGCAATCCTCCTGCAGGTTGTGGGCACCATGGTAGAAAGTGTGGACTCTGAGCCAGCCTTGTCCACACATTGACTCACGTGGTTGCTCAGTACCTTCTGTCAGAGCCTCCACTGGAGTAGCTGTCTGTGTCCTCTGAGTCTCACGAACTCCCTATGGGAGGTCCACACTTCCCATTGCATTGGCAACACCTGCAGTGCCAGTACCAAAGGTTCAGCCATTTGTCAAACATGATGGAGGCCCACCAGATGCCTGGCTGTGGGCCTGGAGACAGGCAGCAGTCCCTGACTATGAAGAGTGAGGAACGGCCTCACGAGGGAGGGACATTAAGCTGGTGGCTCCAGTGAGAACAAGGGCTGGGCAGCAAGGTGTGGGACGAGGTCCACAGGGTCCAGGCAGAGGACAGGGAGTAAGTCCGCACGCAGCCTTGCCCCGCCACAGGGGCAGCATCTTGGTCATTTAGCGCCTGTGCTGTGGGGAGACAAGGGAGCGTGGTAGGTGCCCCGTGACTTCTTGCCTGACTCTTCCTTGACCTTCTCCCTAGGGCTGGGTCAGACCTTGGCCGGTGCCCCACAGCCCCAGGCTTTGCCCATAGCGGGTGAGGAGGAGGGGGACAAGATGGAAGCCAAGCAGGTGGTGCTCATCGACAGCTCCTACCTGTGCCAGTTCTGCCCCAGCAAGTTCGGCACCTACTTGCAGCTCAAGTCCCATATGACCCAGCACAAGAATGAGCAGGTAGGTGGACAGAGGGCCGCAAGGGCTGCAGTCACCTGTCTGAGACATGGCTGGTGCCAGGGGCCTGTATGTGCATGTGTGCATGTGTGTGTGCATGTGTGCACATTACTGGTGATTGAATCTGGGGCCTTTGCACTCAGTGATATCTCTAGTACCTTTTACATTTTTTATTTTTGAGTCCGAGTTTTGCTAAGTCACTAAGTTTCCTGGGTTCGGCTCAAATTCGTGATCCTCCTGCCTCAGTTTCCCAGAGAGCTGGGTTATAGGCCTGCACTACCACATCCGATTTGTATCTTGAATGCTGCTTGCAAAGGGACAGGAGTTAGCCCCTCAAATAGAGTAGCTCTTATCCTTAGGGAAGATTCCTTTCAGGGGTTGATGGAGTAAAGTTGGGTGGTCCTGGGATAAACTCATAGAAGCTTTTGACTTCAGCTGGCTTGAAGACTTGGGAAGTTTGTTATCTCAGAGCATGAGGCCTGGATAGGGAATCTCCAGGCCTGAGACAGTCAGGTGACTCAGCCCAGCTTCAAGTCTTGGGTGTCTTTTCAGCTGTGGCCACCACCATTACAGGGCATGGCCATGTCCCCCACTGTGGCACCCACTGTGGTCCTTGGATGGTGGTCACTTTCCTAGGAATCAGTCTAGACATAGTGTCACTCATGAACAGTGGGAACCTTTTTAGGAGTAAGGGCACCTTTCCTAGAAATGCTCTCTAGGTCTCATTGATCAGGGTTAGCCATGTGCTCTGTCACTTAGGAATGTGTTATTCAGCAGATACGAGAGCACTGGCTTCCTAGTTAGGCTTTATTTCTCTCACATGAAAAGAAATTGACAACTAGGCAAGATTGGGCTTATACAGTGGGTCACATGTGTCACGATAGACCAGGCTTCTAGCTTCCGGTCTGTTATCCTTAGCTGGAGGCATTCATCCTTACTGTTACGGAACAGCTACTACATCTCCATCCAGCAGGACAAATGCAGCAAACATGATTTCTGCTAGGAGGCTTTTGTGTTTTAGTTCTGGGAGGGCCACCTTGAACAAATGAGGGTTCACTTTGTTAGGAAGGGTGTGTGACATTGTGTAGGCACCCAAGGAATATGTGCTACTTATCAAAGTAACATTTCCAAAATGTTAACAACATAATTCTTATATACGGTGAGACTCAATATGAAGCAGAATATTCCTTAACTCATTAATCAAAGAATTGCAAGGATTACAAAACCAGTTCAGAAAAGATGTGAAAGCCATGTGTGTGGTGCACATTTGTAATCCCAGCATGCCAGAGGCTGAGACAGGAGAATGGTGAGTTGCCATCTAGCAAGACCCTGTTTCAAAAAAAAAAAAAAAAAAAAAAAAAATCTCCAAAATCAGACTATTAAATTAAGATACAAATTTGGTTCGTGCTGTATGGGACGACAACACCCTGACCTTTGAGGTTATCTTCTCTACCTGACAAAAGTCATTACATTGGATGAGTTTTACAAGTTCACATATTTTTTTTTTTTTTTTTTTGCGGAACCGGGGATTGAGCTCAGGCCCTTGTGCTTGCCAGGCAAGTGCTTATTCTACTGAGCCATCTCCCCGGCCCCACAAGTTAACATTTAACTCGAGAGTTTGGGTCCTGAATCAATAGTAACTTCTCAGAACTAGCCCATCCCCCAAAGCACCAGAGGACCCTAGGCAGGTGTGTTAGGTCACAGTCCTCAAAGTGAGGTCCCCAGACCTACAGTGGCAGCATCAGCTAAAGATTCCTGGTCAGGAGTCCTCATACGCAGACCACCACACCTTCCACATCAGATTCCCCAGAGGTGTTGCCCAACAATCTGAGATTCTTATGTCTGTTCAGGTTTGTGAGCCACTCCTCCAGCGGAACATTGAAAGGACACAGTCATCCCTTCACTGCATAACTTGGATGATTTCTTGCTCTTTTTCTTTTGAGACCAGATCTCACTATACAGTTCAGGCTGGCCTTGAACTCACTGTGTAACCCAGGCTGGCCTCAGACTTGCAGTGATCCTCCTGCCTCAGCCTCCCGAATGCCTGGATAATTTTCCTACTTACACCTAGGCTACACAGAGAGAAAAGAATCCACAATCACAATAAAACCAGCACTGCATTGGGGTGTAGTGGCACACACCAGTAATCCCAGCACTTGGGAAGCTGTGGATAAGTGGGTCACATTGAGTTCAATGTTGGCTTGGGTTCCAAAGTGAGTTCAAGGCCAGTCTGAACTACATAGTGAAATCCTGTCTCAAAAAGACAAAACAAAACAAACCAACCACTAGTGCTCAGTAGTCAGGGGCAGGGGAAAGAGGCCAACTTCCTCACCTGCCCAGCATCTCCCTGCAGGTGTACAAGTGTGTGGTCAAGAGCTGTGCGCAAACCTTCCCCAAGCTCGACACGTTTCTGGAGCACATCAAGAGCCACCAGGAGGAGCTGAGCTACCGCTGTCACCTCTGTGGCAAGGATTTCCCCTCGCTGTACGACCTGGGCGTGCACCAGTACTCCCACAGCCTGCTGCCCCAACACAGCCCCAAGAAGGACAGTGCTGTCTACAAGTATGTGTCACCCCATCCCGCCTGGGTACATGGGCCAGCAGGCAGGGTGCGGGGTCACTGTGGTGTCACTGACCACTCAGGACCAGTGAGACACCTCCAGAGGGGAAACTGAGGCTCCAGGCTGGCGTCCAGCCTGGCAGAGTGGTTCCTGGTATTGGCACAGGGGAGGAAAACATGCTGTTCTCCTTGTATCGTTTTTCTCTGTTTTAGTTCCTTTTCTCACTGCTGGGACAAAATACCCAACACCCAAAGTTAAAGGAGGAAAGGTTTATTTAGCTCACAGTTTGTAGAGGTTTCAGTCCATAATCAGCTGGTTCCATGGCAGGGTGGCTTGGCAGAGGTGCATCAAAGAGGAGAAACAGTTCATGGCAGACAACAACCACAAGCGACAAGTGACAAACTCCAACCACAGCTCTTTCTGTCCTTTATACCTTACCCAGACTACCCACCCAAGGGCAGGTAGCTCTCACACCTTTAATCCTAGCATCACACGGTGAATCAATCAATCCCACAACCTGGTCTTTGATCCCAGCAGCGCATACTCCAGATCCAGTCACCTCTAAAAAGCACCCCATCACCTCATGAGGCTTTGGGGAGACATCTAGACAGGAGCGATAACATTTTCCTTGGCAGACACTTGTTGTAAATATATATATATATATGTGTGTGTGTATATATATATATATATATATATATTTTTTTTTTTTATGTGTGTGTGTGTGTATGTGGTATTGGGGATCAAACTCAGGACCTTGTGTTTGTCCAGAAAAAATATTCTTTAAAAGGGAAACCAGGGCTGGGTAGATAGCTCAGTGGTCTCAGTGCCTGCCTGGCAAGCGCAATGACCCAAGTGTGATCCCCCTGATACCTCATGCCCTGCCAGCCAGGTTCCAGGCATGATGTGCTGGTCCTAGAACCGGGCATGGTGATGCACGTGTGTTATCCCAGTGCTGGGGAGGCTGAGACAGGAGGACTGCTATAAGTCTGAACTGCGTAGTGAGATCCTGTATCAAATGAGAGATAGAGAGAGAGAGAGAGAGAGAGAGAGAGAGAGAGAGAGAGAGAGAGCAGTACCTCCTCATTTGTGATGGAAAAGAGGATTGTTTCTCCTAGACTAAAAATTTATGAAAATATAGTTAGGCTTAGTGGCACATGCCTGTAATCTTAGCACTCTGGGAGGCTAAGGTAGGAGAACAGGAAGATTGAGCCCAGTCTCGACAACTTAATGACTTAGCAAACCCTGTCTCAAAGGGAGTTGGGGGATGTAGCTCATTGCAAAGGTTCTGGGTTCAGTGCCCAGAACCACAAAAGCACAAACAACTGTTTGGGGGCTGGGGAGTTAGCTCAGTAGAATAAGCGCTTGCCTGACAAGCACAAGGGCCTGAGTTCAATCCCCAGTTCCAAAAACAAACAAACAAACAACTGTTTTACATCATCATCTACAAAACAGCATACTGATTCTTCTTAGAGTGAACAAGCACATATTGGGAAGTGAAAATCATAACCCAGATTTGTTGTTGTATAATCTATAAGATGTGGGCTAAAGTAAAGCGAGGTGCCAATTCTGAGACTGACCAAGGACTGGACCAAGTGTGGACTTTACTGGGGGTGAGTCTTCCAGATCCACTGTTCCATCATGTTAGTCCCCCGCTGCAGTCATGGACAGCCCCTCTGTGATAGCGACGAAGCGGCCCTGGTTTGCCACGCACTTTTTTGCCCTTAGCTCATCCTATCCTCCTCTTGGAGATGTGGCTCCTGTGGCCTGCTGTCACGGGTGTCCTGAGTCTTGCTCTGTACAGGGCCTCTCTGCCCTGTGAGTGGTCCACCTGCATTTGCCCCTGGGGATAGCTGCAGTGAAAAGCAAGGAGGGCTGTCTAGCTCCAGCTCCATCATGAGGATTTCCCCCATTTGCACAATGAATACTGCAGGCTGTGGATAGGCGACCTCTGTTACCCTGCTATGGGAAGCTCTGGCTGTAGACCCTGAGCTTAGATGCTAGGGAGACAGGCGTGTAAACAGGTGCTATCTAGACTGTGGTGGTAAAGTATTGCCATCCTCCCCTGAGGGGCAGACACCCTTGGGATGGCCTTAGGGTCGAGTCATGTCATGGAGCCACCGGCCTATGCCCAGGTCTCTATGGGTGATTGACCTTAGACAAAGTGTTCAGCCATCAGCAGCTTCAGTTTCCTCATCTCTGAAATGGGGATTAAAATAGTGTCTACCTTATTTCTTCTTATTTACACTGTATTTTATTTTTATGACACTGGGAATTGAACCTAGAGGTGCTGTGCCATTGAGCTACATCCAGCCCTTTTTATTTTTTATTTTGAAATATGGTCTCACTAGCTTTCAAGCTTCAAATTTGCGATCCTCCTGCCTTAGCCTCCCAAGTAGATGGATTACAGGTCTGCATTCACATGCCCAGCATTTCCTGGACTCCTTCTAAGGATAAAGTAAGATGAGGATGAGGTGTGTAGACATGTCCCTTGGAACAAAATAGATGCTTGATAAAGGTGATCACCTGTGATTATTGTCTTTTTTTAAAATTTATGTATTTGGTACAGGGTCTCACTACACAGCTTGAACTCCTAGTGATCCTCCTGTGCATGTGCCACCATGTGGGTGCTCCACCACGCCCGGACTCTGTGGGGGGCTCAGTGTGCCTAGGGGCATGGCACGTGGTGCCAGGGATCAAACCCCTGTCCATGCATTTATCTAACCAGGCTCTTAGTCTGCTGAGCCATCTCACCAGCCCTTCATTATTGTCTTCATTTAGATATAGGCTTGGCTGCCTACAACAGAGACCCAAGGAATAGTAGCTTAAACAAGTGAGAGTTTCTGACTCTCACAGGAAGGTTAGGCTGGTGTGGTGCCTCCATCCGGGTCCTGACTGGCTGGTGGTTCTGAGTACTGTGAATCCTGCAGCAGCCTTGGCCTGCCTGTGGGTATTGCCCCAAGCCTCTGCGATGAACTTCATGCGTGACACGGCATCCCTGCTGTGTAGTCTGCTTATTTTACCCTATCTTTACTCTGCTTTGCTTTCTTTTCTTTTTTGACCCCTCTTTCTTATCTTACCCCCCCTTTTTCTTCCTTCCTTCCCTTCTTTCCTTCCTTTCATTTTTTTGCAATACTGGGAGTTGGCCCCAGGCTCTTTGCACTAAACTACATCCCCACTCCTTTTTTATTTTGTGAGTATTGCTAAGTTTCTGAGTTGCTTGAGCTGGGCTTGACTTTTTGATTCTTCTGCCCTAGACTCCGAGAGTCCTATTTTATAGATGTGTCCTGCTGTGGTTGGTAAGAAAAAAGATCGTAATTTTTTCTGGGGGGGGGGTGAGTAGACTGGAAATTGAACTCAGGACCTTGTGCTTTCCAGATAAGCACTGTGCTGCTGAGCTATATCCCTGGCCCAAACATTGTTTTTTTTATTAGCACATGTTATTGATACATAAAGGAGTAATTACAGTGTTAGGGTCTGATATACATGCACATCATTCCTTGGTCACTTTTACTCCCCCCTTCTCCTTCCCCAGACCACTTTCCTGTGTCTACAGAGCCCCCCACCTTTTTTTTTTTTCTTCAGTACTGGAGATTGAACTTGGGACCTTGCACTTGCCAGGCAGGCACTTATGCCACTGAGCTACAGCCCCTGCTGTTGCTTCCCTGTCTCTTAATGTGGCTGGCTCTTTATTTTGCTCTTTAAATTATTTGTATTTTGGGTCTCATTTTTTAATTTCAATTTTATTATTATTTTTTTCATTTGGCTCCCTCATATTAAGGTAACTCAAAAAGGTTTTCTAAAAAACTGTACATGCATAGAAAAAGAACTAATTCCTGTTACACAGAAATAACCATTGTTGTGCCAGGGAGATAGCTCAGTGGCTTAAGCGCCTGCCTGGCAAGTGCAAGGTCCCAGGTTCAATCCCTGGTACAAAAAAACAGAAACAGGGCTGGAGAGATGGCTCAGTGGTCTAAAGCACCTACTT